ATTAGAAAAATATTGAATGAAATAAAATTAAAATATTACATAGTATGAAACAGCTTAAGAAATAAATTTATTTTTTTAGGGGGAAGAAATGACGACATTGCCCTGAGGCACTAGCGGATCCAGAATTTAATTTTGGGGGGCTTCAGCCCGAAACCTTTTTTGTTTTCATAAAAATAACGATAATTACTTTGGAAAAACAGAAAGAAACTAACTACCTATATGAAATGGTGTTTAAGTGATTCCTTAAGTGATTTTAAATGTAATTACACGAACAATAATACTTTAAGAGGTATTTTTTAAAAAAAAATTTCCATAAAACATGGTTATATTTTTCCATTTTGGGGGGGCTTCAGCCCGAAAGTCTCTCCCTCCCCCCCCCGTAGATGCGCCCGTGCCCTGAGGTGCCGAACTTCTAAGGTCAATAAAGGCCGAATGTCACTGTCCTTTATTCAGAAAAGGTATTTCTCTTTAATATGGAAAGAAATATCCCTGCAAACTTGGTAAGCATGCCTGATCAGACTTTTAGAACAAGCTGGTTTTAGCGTCTGTAATATAATTATTTTTAAGCATTTTGATTTTATAAGCCGTACTGGCGCAACTCACACTTCACGTATTTAATAAATATGAAGAATGAATAAACATGTGTTAATTAACCTGATTAGTTCCAGGAATTGTGTATTCCATAGTCTCTAGTGAAATTACAGTTATATGGTTATACTATTTTTTTTGTTTAATACATTTTAGGCCACAGGTCACTAATAAAATTTTATTTTATTTTGTCCAACTTATGGCATATGATTTCAAAACTCAAATTCTTTTTTTAGGTCTTTATTTACGTATGTTCTTATTCTGAATCGAATGAAACAAAAAGTAAATCCATAGCTTTACCTGTGTTTGTTATTATGAAGGTATTGTTTTAAATTTTAAAAAATTCTGAATAAAAATAAATCTAATGATTCAAGCCAACATTATTGGGCGAAAATTTTGAAGATTAAAAATATTTAAAAAAAAATGAATTATAATAAATGTTTAAATTCATAGATTTATAATAATTACAAAATATGCAACTAAAGATCCAGCCATGAATATATATATATATATAAACTAGTGGATATATATATATATTTTTTTAAAATATATATATATTTTTAAATCGACTTTCTCTGTTGAAGAAAATAGTTTTTCACACGGGCGGATCTACGGGATGATCTTTGGGGCTGAAGCTCCTTCCCAAAATGGTGAAATATAACCATGCTTTATGGAAAAACGATATTAAAAAATTATCTCTAAAAGCATTATTGTTCGTGTAATTATATTTAAAAGGACTTTAGAAATCACTTAAACACCTTTTCATGTAGATAGTTAGTTTCCTTCTTTTTTTACAAAGTAATTATCGTTATTTTTATGGAAAGAAGCTTTCGGACTGAAGCCTCACCCCCAAAATTAAATCCTGGATCCCCTAGAGGTGTTTCATGATGTTTTACCAGATTATCCCCTAAAATTTATCTGTTGAAAATGCATAGGTTTCAGCTCTGTTTAGAATTGTGGTTTTAGTTTTATTGTTCTTTTATTTCTTTTCTATTGTTATTTATTTATTTTTCAAATTTATTACATTTCCAGAAAATTCAGATTGATGATAAAGCCGATTGGGGAGAGGATAGTGGAAAGTTTTACCTCTCCCAATAATTTAAAAAACCAAACGGTTATAAGATTTGATAACTGATTTCAAACTCTAAAAATTGAGATAAAATATTTTACTAAAAGAATTACTAAAATTTAAAACAAATAATAAATAAATTACCTATTAGAATAACAAAAAAATTTTTTACTGATAAAATGTTTTTGAATTTGAAAAACACTAGAAAACTAGGGCAAAATTGTTGGGAACTTTCAATTTTTTTAAACTTTGTTAAAAATTGTCAAACATCATTTGATGAGTTAAATCTTGAAATATTTCTATTTGTTAAAGAATGAAAGACCTTTTTTCTATGAAATTGTATCACAAAAGATTTCTAGCACGTCAAAACCTAACATAACATCTAGTGAAAAATTTCGAGTGAACTCATAATTGTCCGATCGAGCACGCCTAATAATGTCTATAATAGATCTTCTCTAATTCATATAAATGTAATTAAAGAATTAACTGTCAAGAAAAAAGTACACAAATAATGTTAATTCAGGTGAAAAGGTGATTGATTGAATTACTCAGCTGACAATTTCTTAACGCTACATAAAATATATATACAGAAAAATCACTCGTGCCTTTATATAAGAGAAGTAATTTTTCTCATAGAATTTACATGTTGAACTTACTATTGAATAGTTGTTTATTTTCCGTTTATACTTACTTAATGCTTCGGTTTATAACGATGAATACCAATGAACAGTGTTACTGTACCAAATTTAAATTTTTAAATATTTTTTTGTCTATAAGTGAGACATTTCAATGAAAAATCAATAACTTCTCTCCTAATAGGAACTGAAAATATGTAGTCAAATTATCTGTAATACCGTTGATTTTTTGTAAAATCACTGAAAATTGCTCGTTAATTTGTGTTTTTATGGGCTAAAGAAGGTGAAACTGGAGAAAATAATTATTGGAATACGTTCTAAGGATGTTATAGTCCATGGTACAGACCCCTTTTTATCGAATTATTAACATCCGCCTGAAACTTCGTACATAGTTTCATCTCATTGTAATCTACAACTATTTTATTTACGAAAACTCTTGGAATTGGGGCGTTTTCATTCTAGAGTGGAACAAACTTTTCTATTTAATTAGATACTAAAAAACCCGTAAATACCCATTTTCTTTTTAAGTGGATTGTAACATAATTTCATAACGAAATCGATAAAAAAGATGACCTACAAAAATATTGGGCCGTTTGTTCTATATAACCTTTTAATTATTTTGAAAATTTGGGGGTGTAGGTTACGATGAGATGAAACTATTTACGAAGTTTCAGGGAACATCCCTGAATAATTCCATAAAAAGGCGTCTGTACCACGGAGGAAAGATAATATTGTACAAGAAGTGTGATTGGAATACTTTCATTTTAAGATTTTGTCCCACATCTGAACCATTGTCCGTCTTAATAGAAAAAAGACAATATATGTAACAGAATTAAAAAAAAATTAAATGTTAAAAAAAATAACTAAGCTACAAACTAACACATTTTATACAAATCCTTGAAAATAGCCTAAAACCTATTAAATAAAAACATAATAAAATGGCACCGAACCTGAAAAATTGTTATTATATTTCCGATCATGATAAATCGTAGTTACTATTAATTATTAGCCTCCCTCAAGAATTTTGATGGTGCGATTTTCTCCATTCAACCCTCATCTGAAAACCTCTGGTAGTCCATCGAAATTGATTCACCCGTATTAACTTTACAATAATAATACTTACAACAATAATATAATCAGAAGAATTCCGATGGCTTAATTTTAATAATTTCTACAATTTTAGTCGTTTACGACGAAATAAAACAAATGTTTAATACACCTTTAAGTTATCTATGATCGTTCATGAAAGATTACAACTTCTCTGACAAATGTAACCTAATTTTTCATTAAAGGGGGTTGGGCGACAAAAGGTTCGTACAGGTTTCTTCATCCATTTTAAGTTAATTATGCGCGAATAGAACTTCAATTCTTTCTGTAAACTGACATAGGATTAGAATTTTCTTTTCATTGACCACTACAATCCATACCACGTTTATTCTTTCGCGTTATACTTTCTTGGAGTAGGAAACTAACCCTCAAAAAGAGTAAGAGGATAACTTGGTATCAATCACCGCCACTTCTTCCAGCGGATCGAAAAAAAAAATGAAACCTTTATCCCGCGATTATCCCTTACCCATGATTAACCTAAATATTACGCTTAATATTTAGGTTTGAAAATATTTATCTTCGTTTTAAGACACCGAAAGACAAACTGATAAATTTTTTTTTTTTTAGTTTTGTTCAACTAATTTGCTATCAATACTATTAGTTGACAGAGGTACCCCCCCCCCCTAAAGTCGATGGCACATGAACCTCTTTCCCTTCTCACAAGATATTTTATTGGTTTTCTCTTTTTAAAAACAGTAAGGAAAAGAAGAATTTAGAACTCTTATCCTCTGCTTTGAAACATTCCATCTCAAAAATTCATCTCCATCCGAAATCTGGCCCATTCATAAATCCAAAACCCAATCAAAAGTGGCTCCCTCAAGAATTTTGATGGCACAGTTTACACCAGTAAACCCTCATCTGAAAACCCCTGGTAGTCCCTTGAAATTGATTCATCCCTATGAACTTCACAGTTATAATCAGAACACCGATGGATTTATTTTAATTATTTCTGAAATTTTAGTCGATTACGACAAAATGAAACAAAACACCTGTAAATGATCTAAACTTATTTGAAATTAAACGGTCTATGAAAATAGAAAAAAGAATTATTGAAAAATTTAAATAAATAATACCTGAATATTGAAAAGGACTGTTGAGAGAAAACAAGGCCAGATTATAAAGAATGCAATAAAAATATTGTTTGAAGATAATATCCCCAAGCTGTCACACATTCATCAATAAAGAAAGAAAGGTACCTTGAAGCATCTACAGCATACACACTCTCAAAGTGCAATAGGTGGCATTGCTAATAAACAAGCCTTACTTAAATAGATATCGAAGCCCTGATTTTTTTTATGGCATGAGGATTTTCAACTGTGAGCATTTCGGTGGTTGGAAACCCCATTGTTAGGAAATGTGTTCTGTCAGAATTAAGCAAACTTCAGGGGAAGCAGGGATTTTTTTTTAGATACAAAAAATAATCATGACTAATGGTTTTCATTTTTAATGCATTATACATGATTAGTAAACTAAAAATTTAATCGTATGATAATTGGACAATAATTATTTTTTTTAGTCACTTCAAGCAACTAATAATTTCATACTTAAAAATTTGAACTGAACTAACTAACAAAATAAGGATGTTAAAAAAATTATTCATATAAGGATAAAAATATATAAATTATATTTGAATGTTTATTTCAGTTGATACAAAAATAAAAGAGACATTTTCATAAGATTCATTTCTTGAAAAAAAAAAAAAAATACATTAAAACATATCCATCTAAGTTTACTAAAATCTTTGTGAAAAATAAAAATAACATCAATAAAATCAAGAATAGCTCTAAGGACGGTAAAGTTACTGAAACTGCTAATAACAAACAAATAATATGGCAAGCATCGATTCCAATATTGGCACTTTTAAGAACTTACAATAACATATCCAACTCTCGTTTCATATTTAGGCATAATAATTAAACAAAAATAAATTTGTTTCATTTAAAACATTCCAACAATAAGAATGCCCACAAATTAAATTAGTATTACAGAGAAAAAAATGCCAAGAATAATTAAAGCTAATAGGTAATTAATCTCAATTAACATACTACTGTTTGATGATCTTTTTAAAGAAGAGCTTTCATACCTAAGAATACACTTTCTGTTAATGGAGTACCGTAAAATATATTTTGACCATTAAATATGTATAAATTAAAAAAAAATTGCAGGAATATTATGAAAAAGGATAAACAATATAATCAAGATATGAACATAAAGTGGTCTCCAAAACATAAAAATACAGACTACTATGCCATACATAAAAAAAAATTAATAAATAAGTATATAAAAATTAAAATGACAAAAATAAATCAATCATAAATATATATATACATAACTGTACAAAGCACGAAACTATAAATGTTTGGATATGAAAGCTTTCCTTCAGTAGATCCTTTCATCAAGTAATAATTAACAAAAATATCATGATACAATCTTTAGTTAAACAACCTTTCACAAAGAACAGTACCGTATCTAACTCGAAGCCAGACATTGAACTAAACTAATGGCATGTATAAAATATATAGGATAAAGATTTATCTCATTTTGATATAATACTAACAGTACTTCAATTACTGTACTAAGTCTTATGATCTAATTGTACATTCGATTGATTATTAGCAAATAAATGCCCTCAATTCTCTTTTTAGCATAAAAATAGTAAGATTTGACATACTAAATGAGAACAACTGGTGCTAACATACAATCATACAACATTATAACATATATCCTCCCATTATTTTTTAAAATTAAAAGAATGTTACAACGTATAAATACATAGTCCCTAGCACCATATCGTCTGTAGGAGACGTACGATTAAAATTAATAATACTAAAATTAGTTTAAATATATAATTTGTACCATCAATGTTAATAAAGATTTAAAATTAATTTCCAAACATAATCCTATAATGACATTTGACATGATTTTTATATATAGAAATATTTAAATAATTACTACAACAAAAATAATGTATTACATAAAATAGCATAATATACCATTCTTGCTGAATTAACTTTTTCTTCTGTTCAAGAATTAAATAGGCCTTGTGAATTCAAAAATGTTTCCTTTAATCAATAAGGTTTAATTTATCAAGTTGTTTTATTCTATATCTAATATAAATATAATGGAGGAAGGAAGTACAGCAAGGGATAGAAGAAAGTTAGTGAAGGGCAAAAGTATTCAAATTGCAATTCATTGAAAGGTGCTACTATTTTTTTTTCCCCAGAATCACTGATTCTTTATCCAGAGAAAAAAGTTATATCATTTAATTAGTTCTTTAACTGATCACTCACCTCTTATCTCATAATAGTTAATAACAGACCTTCGAGAGTTGAAGGTGAGGAATGATCTTGAGAGGAAAAATAAGAATATATTCGTTGTAACTTAAAATACTAAGTTACACGAGGTAGAGAGGTGCGAGGTTGTATGATGTTACACATAATAAGTCTTATTTTCACAATGAGTTCAAGTTTTGTGTGCCTAGGAGTTAAAATAATTACTTTTTTATTTATTTACATCATTACTTATTTAATTTCCTTAAGATCATGCCTACCTCTATATTTTTTTTATTTAAAGAACCAATTAATTCATTTGCTTATATCTGAACCACTTCCACTATTTCCTGGCAAAGGAAAAATGTCAAAATAAAATTGAGATTTAAAAGGTGGTACAGGCAGAGTATAATATAGAAGACATGTTCCTTTTGTAAGAATAGTGTTAACATAAATTTGACTACTTCTTTGGCCTTATAGACACTATTTATTAACTATGAACTTACAGGCAAGCTTAAGCTTTTAGATGTTTAAAATACATACGTTGTGATCAACGTTTTCCCACTACATCTTATAGACCCGAGATTAGGAGGAGTCACGATAAAATAAAATAAAATAAACTTCAAAAGAGAAATTCATATTCAGAAATAACTCAAAAATGAAACAATAACACATCTGTAAAGCATGAAATTGATAAGAAATGATATATCAAGTGTTTTGACCAGCAGAAAACCAAAATAGAAAGGAAGGGAACATCAAAGCAAGTTAAATTGGCAGACTTGGATAAGAAAAAAGGTATCCTACTGGAGGCGAGGTCAAAACAAATGTATAATAGGCATCTCATCTGAGACCCTACCTAATGGGTCATTCCATGCCAAACCAACCAGAAAAAAATCAACTTGACACCCACCCCCTTCAGATTTTAATGAAAATTTGTAGATGTATAAGTAAGTAAAAAATACCAAATTTTATCCAGTTCTAAAGATTAGTTTCAAAATTATGGGCATTAAACTTTTGAAATAGGAAGACATTAGGCGCTCAAAACCAGCATGCACCTGATATGTATTCCTTTGTAAAATCAATATTTATTGACCAAGAGCTTTTCAAATTTTTTCATTTGTCATAAATTTGAAGCAGAATCTGCTGATACCATAATTTTTAGCATTATAATTTTTGATATGTATAAAAAAATTCTTGACGAATGTTTTGAAATTTGTTAAAAATATCAAAAACTAACTGTAGCTAAAATCTCTCTCCAAATACCCTAATATAACCAAATATCACTGAAAAAAGCATGAACTTTTTTAACTACAATCATAAGGGAGTTATATTACCTATGCCAATAAAATAAGAAACATATTAACAGTTGTTAATCATTTTTTTTTTTTCAATTGTTGTCGACCAACAATAGTATATATACTTTTATAAAAGAAATATCTCATTTATATTATCACGAAAGGAGTACAAAAAAAAATTCCTTTTTTTTAAAATATAAACTTCTGCACCTTTCCCGGTTTTTTCTTTTACATGAGAAATTCTCATACAATTCCCGGTTTCCGGAAATTTCCAGTCGCTGGACATCCTGTTATACCTTTACAAGATACGCTACAGGTCATTAAAAATAATTTTATGAATTGCCATTGATTTGAACTTAACAGAAAAATGAAAAATAATCCTCAATTCCAGCCAGAGAGCAGTTTCAATTACCCTCCTGTCATATTCTTGTGAATAATGTAACATCAATATCATTTTTAAGACAAAGCAGTTTCTTTAATCTAGGGATGAATTCCATTAACTAAAAAAGCAATGCCAATGCTTAAATGTTAAATCTCCAAAACATAGATTTCAGTTCATTTGAAATAAGATTGGCAATCAAACGTTACATAAAAATAATGTCAAATGTCATAAAAAGCAATTAAGCTATAATTTTTTTTTTAATATAAAAATATAATATTCAACATATCACCCAAATTTAAGTCAATAAATATAAATATAGCACATAAAGCTAGGATGAATGAATGTTTCTATTTATAAATAAACGATAAGGTAGAATAAATAACACATATATATAAATATATAACACGTTTCAAAGAGAAAATGAAGAGTTCAAATTTGTACATAAAGAGTAACTATGGAACTATAAAAAAAGGTAAATTGGTTATAAGCTTGTCATTGCTGGTGGTCTTGCATATGCTTTTGGTATAAAACCATACTTTCTGGTTTTGGGAGCATAAGCCCAAAGCCAACCATCTACTGTTTGGTTATTCAGGTCTGCATAAATCCAGTCTCCTCGCCTGACAGAGAGGTCGTCAGGTGCCTGAGCCTATTTAAAATTTATAAAACCATAACTAATTTTATATGATCATGCATAAACAATAATGAAAACTAATTATAGAATGAAAACTAACAATAAAAAACAAATATATTTAAATCACATAGTTAGCTAAAAATTAAAAACTGCAATGCCAGGAAGAATTTTTTTTTTTCATTTTAATTTACTGAATAGATGAATACAGATCTCAAAAGTGTAGAAAAGAAAGCCGTGCGTTCAATTCCCTCTATGTTACAAGACAAATTCATAACCTCTAAAGCTTGACAAAATTGTTATGATACACGTTCAACTTTTTCATTTTTCTGCAAGTCAAAAAAATTAGAAATATTTTCAAAAATTAGTTTTGTAGATTGCAAGATTCTATAACAAGGTGTGATTGTCATTATAAAATTTAATTAACTTTTTTTTATCTACATCCATAATAATGTCTATACAGTAACCGGAGCAATCTGGGATCTTAGTACTAACAAATGGAGAAGAAAGATCAATAAAGAACTGCTTACAGAAATTGGTCAATCAATATCCCATGATATGAAGGCATGGAGGTTAAGATGGCCGGGGCAACTAGCTCATAGTAATCCATCTAGAAGTCTCTTCGTAACAATGAATGCCTCAATAGAAGGCAAAAGACCACGTAGAAGGTCAAAAAGCAGATGTATAGATAGAATCAACTAAGATGCAATAGAGCTGCACACAGATAACTGGAAAGAAATAGACCAAGACAGGCAGAGAGGTTTGTTAAGGCGGGAAAAGATCTACATGGTCAGTAATGACAAAAAAAAACATACATGACGATAAATTATGTTTTTGTTGAATGTATTTTAATTTTCAGAACAGCATTGAATTTTTCTTCTGTATAAGTTCCATAAATAGTAGGAGAGTCAACAAGGATTGGTTTGGATTTACTCAAGTTAAGTATTACTAGAGAATTGTGCTAATTTGACTGCCTAAATCTTTGCCCCAAAATATTTAGTCTTACAATTATTTGCATTTTTCATGACTAAACTCACAGCTACATGTCTTGAATTGGAGGAGAATATTTAAGGACAACAATGACCGAACATTTTTCCAAACCTGAAGCACTGTGTGCAAGTTATTATTGATCACTTACAACAATGCTTTTAGTGATAATAAGCAATAATTGTAAAGTGAAAGTAAGAATCCTAGATGGTACAACATATTCATTTATAACAGTTCAGTATTATATATTTTTCCCTCCCATCACCTAGTAAATGGGTTTTTCATCTATTGTCATTAGTTTTTACAAAACAATAGGCCCACTTACCGAACTAGTCCCCCCCCCCACACCACCAGTACCAGTAGCTTTTACAAACATATGTTATAGACATTAATTTTCTTTTATTTATTTTTCAGTTGGTATTACAAACCTCGTAGATCTTTTGCTGCCTTAACAAGCCTAATCTTTCTCTGCCTATCTTGGGCTATTCCTTTAAAGTTATCTGTATGCAACTCTGTTGCATCTTTCTATCTGCTTTTTGGCCTTCCCCTGTTCTTTTAACTATATACATTGTCATGTAGAGGATTCCAAATGGATTGTTCCAAGCTACATGCCATGTTCACCCTAAACTCAGTGCCTTCAAATCATGAGATAATGATTGAGCAGTTTCTCTCAAAAAAACTCTGGTTATCGTGAGGATGTTTCTCTCAAATCTTTCAATAATTTTTTCTGGGACAGTGGTTAGTGTCCAAGTCTCACAGCCACATATAAGAATTGGCTTTAACATAGCAGAGTTAAAGCCTGCATTGTACCTGCTTAACTTGAGATTTTCTCGGATTTCAATATCTTTGAAAGGGAGAAGAAAGCTCTGTTTGAGCTTGTTATATGCTGGTCTATTTCTGACTGTTGGTCATTCATTGTGGGTCATCAGAGTCTTAGTGGGTTTAAATTTATTTTAAAAATAAATAAGAGTTTATACAAATCATTAGTGCTACTATTATTTTCGGAAATTTGTTTTGAAAACAAGAAAATATTTCTGCTTAAAATATTTATAAAAATCTTTTAGAGTTTATATTTATCCATTAATATAACTTCTAACACTCATAGAGTTTAATTATTTTAATCAAAAGAATTAAACTTAAAAATTCAATGTTTCAATAGTTTGTCTACCAATATCTTAATTTCTTATGAAGTACCTCCTTACATAATGCCTTGTTTATTATAAGTTTTTATTTTTCACACTAACATTCACCCTGAGAACCGTCTATACACTCATGTGACTATTTCACATTCAAGAGCATTCAGTCAGGCACACTCCTAATCACTACGCAATACTAGTTGTCTTCATAAGCCTTTGCTACGAAGATCCACCAAGACTCCCATCAACACCTTATTTCTCTTTTATTTCCTAGTTCATATTTATTCATTTATTAATACTTCTCATAACATAAGATAGCTGATTATTTCAAATTATTAATAACTAAAGGTGCCTTAGAGGAAGCCATTTTGAAAATCGATATTTAAACCTTACAGACTATTTTAATGATGATAATACCTACCATATAAGGTCATTCAATTATATTGTATATTGATATGACGAGTTATTTTATTATTACTTTTTATTAAATAAGAATAAAATTGAAGATAATTCAAGACTAGTAACTAAGGAAACACCCAGTAATGGAAGTAGAAATAGAGTATAAGGTGTAAGTCATTGGATGTGTTTAAAATCTGTACTTTAACAGTGATTCTTTCATTTCTAGATAATTTGAGTTTTAAGTTTGATTAAACAAAAATGTTGTTATTGTTGGTTTTCAAAGCACTACAAAAATTAGGTATATAACTACAGAGACAATCAAATGTTGTACCAGCCAAATTTTGAGATTAAATGCAAATTGAAATGAATATGATACGATAACAAAACTTCTTTTATACCAATTTATTTTATTCAGACGACTATGGAATTAAAAATCTTAATCACTCCTAAAATAAATATAAAATAAAAATGATACATTTCAAAAGTATTTGCACATATTTTTCTTTTAACAATACAATTAAATTGTTTCAAAATCGGTATTTTGTATTAAATATACTTACAACAGTTCTTGCCTGAATTTTGGCTTTGAAAAAATTAGATATTTAAAACAGTTTGTTTGGCTTGAATTAGCTGCACTACTATAGAAACACTTCTTTCATATTTGTTTTGTTTTTTGAGGTAACAATATAGTTTGGATTCTATGTTCTAGAATGTACCATGCTTAATTAATTACATTAATATCTGGACTTGAATGGGTAGTTAGGAAACTTCTGAGAACATTTTACCCAAACCATCCTCTAGTTTAGGTTCTTTGCTTGGTTTTGGTCCATCTATTGCTTCCATAAATAAATATTTAATAACTGAAATTGCTAAACAAAACAGTTTGCCAAAATTCTAATTATTTTTACCAATAATCATTTTTTCATTAATGTCCATGACAAAATATTACTTCTTGGGTATCCTGCCATGTATATCATCATAAAAATTATCTCTTCTTACACTTGACTCACTGACCTGCTTGTTTGTTAGAAGTAATCGCCACCAAATCTACTAATCTCCAAACAGTAGTGGGTAGATTATTTGTAGCTTCTATGATGATGTCTCGGCACTCTCAAGGCGTCAATACCTCAGGGCGCTCTTTATGTGGTTTGTTGGAGATGGTTCCAATCTTACCATACCTTTTAATAATAAAACGAAATTCAGACTTAAGAATCGACTGATTATACCGAGTTATGGTGTCATTCTCATTCAATAAAAAACATTAAGAAACAGATTTCAAAACAACATTTTTTTAGAATCCTGAATGCCATTTCTCTAAAAAATTAACAAAATAATGTATACAATAATAAAATAACAACTTGTGCAAATACTTTTGAATCATACTTTTTTTTTTTTACTCGTATTCATTTATAAAGTAATTTGGTTGCTCTAATTGGTTATTTTTAGTTTCTTAGTTGTTTAATAAAATGTACTTTTCATCAAAAATGTTTTGTAATCTTATTTCATTCCACTTCGAATCAAAAGCCGAAAATTGGCTTGTGTATATACATTTGACTTTCACTAATAAAACTGAAAAAAATATTTTTGGAAACAGTAACTTACTTTATAATCGTAAAGCATTACTAGTTCAGTGCCATGATACCTCAGATCATCATTACCAGCAGGTGTCAACTGATGGGTAGCAGTTTGAGTTCTACCAGTATTAGTATTATTTACAGGTTGATTATTATTCATTTGATTAATATGACCTACAAACCAGAAATGCTGTTTAAATAATAAAAAATAAATACACTACTTACAAGAAAATATATGAAAAAACATACCTTGTATAACATCAGCAGGATATACAAAACCTGAAGGTACAAAGCCCTCCTGTCCATCAGATCTGATTACCCAAAACCAGTCGGGGTCTTCCCTGTTCAATACAGTAACAAATTCACCTCTTTCAACACTTACATCATTTTCATCTCTTGCAATAAATGTGTAAAGAACTATATATCTTCCCGAAGGGTCCTGTGTAAATATAAAACAGTGAAAACAACTGGAAACAACAAGTTTTTGTTTTTTCATTTAGTACATAAACCACATACCTTGAAAAATGGATGAACTTCAGTCTGAGATGAGGCAGCGCTATGTAGAGATGCTTGAGAGCTAGTAATATTTTGAGTCTGTTGACTGACAGTATTATTGATTTTTTTTCCATAACTTTCACAGTCAGAGGTTTCATTGCCACCTTATTACACAACATAAAAAAATAAAATTAATATAAATTCAATAAAACAGAGATTAGAGCTACATAGCCATGCACAAAAGATAGCATACACACAAAAAAAAAGTAATAAAAATTAAATTAATCAGATACTAATACAAATTGTTTAAAGCACTCACATTCTAAGTAACCAAATAAAAAAAAAAAAAAACATAACACATAATTTATGTAATACATGGAAGGTGCAAACACAGATTAAATTACAACACACAACGCCCCCTACCTCGAGAATACATTTTTAAAAGTTTCCAATATACTTGTTCTTGACAGGTCTCAAGCCATTTCCTAAGAAATTGTTTGCTATTATTTATAAGAACTAAAGAATCTTCCAAGATTTTTTTTTTTTTTTTAGAAATAATTGATTAATTTCAAACTGTCTATACTAACCAGCACGTGTTTCCGGTGGTTGATCAATTTCTCCTTCATTCACAGTTCTTGGCAATTTCTTCTTGACATTGTTCATAGCCAATTCACCTAATTGAGAGTTATATGGAGTGCAATACGAATGTGGAATAAATCCTTCTTGTCTACTGTCTGCAGCTATGACGTAAACCCAATCATTTTCTCTATATAAGATATTGACCACCTAAAAAAGATACAGTAATTTATATTGGGCATTATGAATGAAATAACCAAAGGGCAACTTATAGCAACATACCTGCCCTCTTTTAACTTCCAGTTCATCATCAACGCAGGGAGTAAAATCATGGAGAACAACCATCTTACTGTCAGGGGACAATCCATTTTCCTTTTCTATTCCAACTCTAACTAGAGTTTCAATTGAAGCGCTACCTGTAATTCTCCCCATTCCAGGGGCACGTACCACATCCTTTTCCAAATCACTAGTTGACCCAGCTATAATCATTCAAAAAGTAGGTGGTACATTAGTTTAAATAAGTGATAATAACTTATTTTTTACCAACTATCACATCAGCAATGCCCTACTGGTTTAAATATAATAATGTTTAAACATAATCATTTTTTGTGAATGGACACGATACAACACATAATTTAAAGTGAAAATACTACTATAAATAAATCCTTAAAGTAACAGGTGTCAATTTTAAGACATATAATTTACAAAAGTTATGACTTACCTTTCTTTTTCTTTCCTCTACGTATTCTGACGGGACAAAGAAATGCCATTTCACCAAAATTACGGCTATCTATTAAATAAAAATACAAATACAGCCATTACACCCGAACTCAAACGATATGAACAAAATCGTTGGAATTCCAATCCAACCCGAAACCTGCCTCAGGCTCAGACCAACATTTTTGGTTGCATTACAATAATCAAAAACTAAAAAAAATAATTCAATTGGGAAGTAATTAACATTAAATGGAAATCTTTAATATTTAAACCAAGTTTATATAAATTATTTCGATTGACATATCTTCCTTGATTTTATTGTTAAACCGCCCAAAAAGAAATTTATGTATAGATATCATTGGCCAAGGTTGACCTTCTCAATGGAATGGAGGTTACAAGCACGTGACTGTCCTCAGTAGTCAACAAACTTAGTTCGTGGTAGTTAGTTAAGTAATTTTAGTCATGGGGAAGAAAAGGAAAAATGATGAGGAAGAATTCGAATTCGATCCTGCTCCGAAACATTTAGCCGCTCCAGGACACATAAGAAATCAAGAAAAACGACTAATCATAGTTCTAGAAAAAGCACAGTTAGAGACAGTAAAGGTAAGTTGCATTCTGAACCTGATATAAAACTAGAATAACGCATAATCATACGCCGGTTTGTTTGTTTTGAATTTATTAAACATTGTAAGATATTGAAAGTTCAACCTCTATTGTAGAAACTTAAAAGAGCTAATTATACTGGGTGGCATTGTTTTACTGTTCTTGTCCTAGGTGTTGAGCTACAATACAACTGAGACATTACAATGTGTTTAGTGTTTAACTTGAGCTATTCACATTCATATAAAATTTTCAAAACGGTATTAAAGTTTCTAATATAATGGTTCATTTCAATATTTTACATTAAGTGTTAATATTTCCATTGCAGTGTTGAATCAACTTAACATGTTTATAATCAATATTAGTAACGAATCTCATATTTTAAAACTTAATATTATTATGTGAAAACACAAGTGTAAGTTTCTGTAAGTAGTTCTTTATTGATCCTTCTCATCTGTCTTAATACTCTAATTCCAAATCGGGTATTGTGTACAGAATTTTTCTCTTAAATCTTTCAATATTTCTTTCTTGAATGCTGGTTTATGTACATCCATATACCAAAGTTAGTTTTATAATGGCATTGTACATCCCTGATTTCAGATTTTTCAGGATCTTACTATGTTTAAAGGAGAAAGCTGTTTATACTTTTACATGCTGGTATATTTTTGACCTTTAACCATTTATTCAGGTCATTGTGAAATCAACGCATTTGAACTTCTCTACTTTCATGAACGTTTTCTGTTTTTAATTTTGAGCTTCCTGTCATATATTTTTTTTTTATCTTCATTTATTATTGGCTTTAACCTAGATTTGTAGCCTTACTTATAATTCAGGAATTTTAACCCATATTAATAAAGAATGAAAAAATCATTTAGAAAGAAACTAATAGCAATGATAGTTTAGTTGTTACAGAGTGTGAATAAACATGCAACATCTTGAAAGATCATTTATATGAGATGTGGAGGCAGTAGATTAAGTTTTGAAGAAATGGTATTACTTCACAAGGTTTTTACTACTGAAATGTTTAATCCGTGTACCTGGTTGTTAATATTTGCCATTTTCAAAGCTCCATCTATAGTGTAGTATTATGTACATCCATCTTGCTGTAATAAAATTTGTGAAGTTGAATTATTACAATTGTTCCGGACAGCCATTTCTGCATGGTAGGTGAATCAAAATTACAATGTAGTTGGTATTCCAAAAATGTAGCCAACTGTGTTCTAAAGTAGACTGAGGCAGCTGATCACGATTAATTGGAATTCCGAGATCTCTATTCCTATTTACTGAGATTATTACTTTCACCTTGTTAGATCTCAATTGTCAGACTTCGGCTTCCTGCACTTATCCAAGAGATGAACAAATCCATACAATGATTCCTTTTTATTTGATGCCCTGGCCATGCCCTCTAACATCCATCTCCAAATGGCAAGGACTATATTTAGTAAGTACCCATCTTAACAGAAAAAGGACCCTTCAAGCATCTGTTTATATCATAAGCGAGTGGATGGTATACAGTTATTATCTAGTTAAAGTAGTAATGATTTTAGTAACCACTATTAATTCTAATTAACTCATAATTACAAGGTTGGTAATCTAACTTAAGCTATGTATTGTATATTAATGAGTACATGCTTGTCACAATCATGATTAACTTGGGATTTTTAAAGTACCTTTATTACTAAGGAAGGTCTAGTGATCGGTCACTTCTGTCTACTTGTGGACAAACTACTACATTTTCAGCATTCCATGTACAGATTGATCAATGTGATCTTGGACTTCCTTCCATGCCAGAGTGACACTTTTGAAGGATTAGCCAAAATAATATATAAATACTCTCTCATAACTCCAATATTTTGGCAGTTATATCCATTGTTTCTGATGTTCTCTAGCTGATGTTACAAGGTTATAAATCTAAGGAAGAACATTAATAATAAACACTAATCAAGTTTATTAATAGGTATAAAGGAGGTAGTCTACTAGCTCTGACTTACAAGGGGAGTTTACAAATTGTTGTTGCAATTGAAAAATCTAAAAAAAAATTTTATTCGCCCTTCTACTAATAGCTCTTATGAGATCCATTTATGCCTTTTGCTTTATAATGGATATTAGTACATCAAAATATATGTATTCTTCCATTACAATGATGATTTCCTCAATATTTAAATATATTTAACAGTTTAGGGTGATTAATATTCAGAACGCAGTTATTATAAGGTTATATTATTGCCGACATTTCATCCCAAAAATGTGGGTCATTATCAAGGTGTGGTTCCAGCTCTAAAGATATTCTAGTACTGCCAGTACTTGAACTTGTACTTGAACACCTTCAGTGCTGGATCATGCCCTGATGATGACCCACATGTTTGGGTTGAAACGTCGGCACTAATAACAACCTTATAATGACTGGATCCTGATTAGTAACCACCCATGATATGTAGAACAGTCGACTAACTTCCTGCAATAATATTTAACTGTTGTAAGTATGAGCTCATAAGAGCTATTAATAAAAGGTTGAATATTGAGCAAACATTTAGATTTTTCAACTATAAATTTTTTTTCTCAGCTCCTAGGGAGCATTTGCAAGAACCCTTGGACATAGGTCTAATATTTTTCGACCTAGTATCACCAAAAAAAGATACACTGAAATTGGTGACCCCACATCCGTAAACTCCCCTTGTTTGTATTATTGCAGTACTCTAGTAGATTGATGTAACAATATCAATTATGTATATTATAAATGTTACATAAATAACTTTATCTATGATTTGCAATGAAATCATTTATAGTATTTTCTTGATCATGATTTCCTTTAGCTTTATAAAGCATACATTTATTTATTTTTGTGCACTTGTTATTTATCTATTAGGCTATCTGATGCATATAGAAACTATTATATTGTTACTTTTTATTCTAGACTGGGCATTCTTTTGACCTTTTGAATAGTGATGATCATGCTAATATATTGAAGAAAAACAATCGCCCAGTTGGCTCCTGCCGACCAGACATAGTGCATCAATGTTTACTTATGCTTATGGACAGTCCCCTCAACCGAGCAGGCCTTCTACAAGTATTTAGTTTAATTTTTTTATATAGTATTTTTTAATTATCCTTGATATAATTATAATAATAACATAATATGTTATAATATAATAATAATTACAATTATTACGACAGGTTTATGTAAGAACAGAAGGTAATGTTCTAATTGAAATTAATCCTCAAACTAGAATACCAAGGACCTTCAAGAGATTTGCCGGGCTAATGGGTAATAATTTGTTGTTATGAAATTTATCTCATTGAATGATTTATTTGTTATAATCTGGAATTACTCTTTCAGTTCAGTTGCTTCATAAATTTAGTGTGAGGTCTTCAGAAGCTGGCATAAAACTGTTGAAAGTTATTAAAAACCCAGTGATTGACCATCTTCCGGTTGGATGTGTCAAATTAGCCACATCATTTTCATCCCAAAAAGTTGTGGAACCACGTAAAATTGTTCCACCCAATGATCCAATTACTATAGTTGTTGGAGCAATGGCTCATGGGCAGGTAAAATATTTTATTTCTGTTACCAATTTTAATGAATTTTTTTATAGTAGTAGTTTATTATTAATTTTTCAGTACCAAAATTTATATTTATTAATAGAGAAATGAATAATTGTGAAAAATAGAATAATTTTATTTTAAATTGGCTTTATATTTTTCAATTATGTATTTTTTTCTTAACATATCCGGTTTATTTGAAAAAAATTAGATATTTTATTTTGATTCTAGGCGGTACCTGATTATGCTGAAGACACAATATCAATTAGCAACTACCCACTCTCTGCTGCATTAACATGTGCGAAACTCTGTTCAGCCTTTGAAGAGGTTTGGGGAATTGTATAGTTATAATTCTATAAAACATTGGTTGTCCATTCAATGTATCTTCAACAAATCATCTTCCGTTTGGGTTAGAATTATTCTATTGTATATGTGAGACCAATTTCTTGTAAATGTCTGTGACAAATTAATTTTATATGTAAATAATTTATACAAATAATATTTGTATTTGTTTTTTTTTTAATAGTAAACTTTGTTTTGTTTTTATATTTTTTCTGAATTATTTGTTTTTTCACTATTAATGTGTAATATTATAAGATGAAAATGGCCTTAACAATTTTTTATTTTAACTCAACATTCCAGTTTAATCACCCATTTTCAAAAGCCTAAATGTGTTTTATTTTTCATTAAAACATTATTTATGATCTTAATCATATTTATTTTTAAACTGTGGGTTTAAATTGTTTCTTTAATAATATGTTATCATTTATTAAAATATATGCCATAAGATATATTAATATCTTACACCTATAGACAAAGACTGAAATTCTTAGCACCAAGGAAAGTCTGTGTAAGAAACAAATCTTAATTTTAATGACACATAGTCTTAAATAGACAATTTAAACTCATAGTTCAAAGATAAGTATCATGGATTAAATATTTTATGGCCAATAAAACAGATTGTAATGCTTTTGAAAAAGGGTGATTAACTCAAAATATTGAGGAGAAATAAAAACATAGTTTCGTTATTTTCCTGTACTAAAATACATTGATAGTAATAGCTGACCTTTATCAACAATAAAATTTAGAAATATTCTATTCCAACTTGACTAACAATAACAATAACAACTTTTCAAGCTTGCTATAAAAACTCATATTGAAGGGATTTTTATGTGCAAAAAATTATTATAAACCTTGCTGCCATCTTAAAAAAAAAAAATTTATCCCTCTCCCTAGTCCAAATTATTTCAATAATATACTCATACTACAGCTATCTTTCTACTATAATGTTTTTTTATAATCCAACTGGCTATCTAGATTATAAGCTAGATTCACAAAATGAGGTATATACTTCTCTAATAAGTTCATTAAACAAGAATAATGCATGTATTGAAGATATTATACATGATATACACATCTATTGAAACTATGCAGTTTACAAATAACATTAAAACGTAAGCGTTATGCGTGTCTACACTTTTTATTTTAGTATATAGACAAATGGTTTTTACATATAGACAAGTAAGGAGCAAAATTGTAATCCCAGACAGTTTGTGTTAGAGGCTAGTGACAATGAAGATATTACAGAAGGAAATAAAGTTTCCGATGCATGTAGCAAACATCTTTTTTTTTTCTGTTCAAATCTTTTTTATTGAATAATTTAATATTTTGTCCCAATTAAAGACAATGATAATGATCAAGAGCAACAATGATTGATCAAACAGCACATTTATACGATATTAAATAAACAAACACCAATTTGGTTTTTTTAGTATTCACTCAAAAATAGTCAACAAGGCATAAATTCAAGTAGATGAAGTTCTAGGATTGTTACATGAAGAACATCAGCTTATGCATCCTGGACACTTACCGTGAGAAAAAGTATGATCAGTCTTTGGCGATTTTGACAACTGTATTTGGTGTAAACAGATGTGATAAATATGTTTTTGGCTAAACAGTTTATATTCGATTCAATCATAAGCCTCTCTTTGGAAATGATTTGATAAAACAGTTTATGCGATGTAACCTTTGGGCCTGCAGAGAATATTGCTTTAGCTTGTAAACATTATCCTCCTTTATAATATCAAATTTGTTGAATAAAAAACAAATATATCAAACGAAGGATATAGAGACCAATTTAGAGATAGCTGATGCTATATCCAGGAAGAAATGTATAGTATTGTGGCACAAATACAAGAAGAAACTTGACATACCCAGCCCAACCATTAGTACAATATTACATGAAATTACGGAGCAGTTGGATGAAGAGGAAGTTGGTTTGTCATTAAATTTTTAAAACTAGTTCTGCTTATAAAGATATAATTAGAATATAATGCTTGGGATCTTATATTAGAGGGCAACTGGCGAGCATGATGAAGCGTTGCCCACTTTAACATTCTCGATTCTAGTGACGTCGGTTCGAATCCCACATGGTCGGGTTTAAATTTATTTTGTGGCGGAGCAACAAAATAAATTTCGACCGACTGTTGTGCTAAAACAGCTCTAACAATTTTGGCGAAACTTGTCTGAAGTATTCTCATTGAAGTAATCTTTAAATTAAATTTATAAATATATATACTCTTATTCAGAAGTCAATTTGAAGAGGTATTTTTTTCAATCTTCTATTTGGGAAGTAAAGCTTTTTCATGGCCAACTTCATAATGTTTTATTTAGGAAATTAAAAATGCTGAATTGACTTTAAATAGTTGTATTCACATGAACATTTTATCTATAAATAATAACAAACGATTAATCGACTTAACTAATAATATCGTTCTATAAAGAAAACACAAATTCTTAGTTATTTGGCCAACCCTTTTTAAGTAATTTATATTGAATTAATCAAATGAAATAATGTTAGATGAAGTAAAAAATAGTTATTAATAAATACATGAAATATTAATAAACGTTTCATCGTTCAATTCGTGAATATTTTTCAAAAGAAAAAGTAAAAAAATTTTATTTTTCTTCAACTGACTTTACTGTCATACGAAATTAAATGGTCACTTCAATACTTCAATTTTATTAAAATTTAATGGACATTTTTAAAAGGATTCATTTTGAGGATGATAGAATAGTTTATTAAAAAGAGCAAATAAATCAATAAAGAAAGAAAAAAGTGCATTTTTGTTTGGAATTTTTATTCAAAAATAAAATAAAGTAAAAATACAGATTAATGAATAAAATCAGCTAGGAATATTTCTCAATCAAAACCTGATCACTGTCAGGATTCTCTTGTTCATTCCACTGGCCAAGTTCCTTACATCTTCTTCCAGAATATTGTTCTACTCTTCCACTAAAATTATTCTTAAATGGACCAAATTTAGAGCGTCACGTCTCCCAAGCATGTTTCATACTTGCTCTATTGGATTCATATCCGAACATCTGGGTGGCTATGCCATAACCTCGATCTGTTCTTATTGGAGGTAATTTTGCATTAACCGACCAGTATGAGGCCAAACATGTCATTTGTTAAAATGGATTCGCCCCCTATATTTCTGGCTAAAGGTTGCATGTGGTTTTAGGATCTCATTTTTGTACCTCAAAGCAGTTCAGTAGCCTCGGTCCAAAAGAACCATCTCCCCAAACCAGCACTGGACCTCCTCCAAAATAGTTGAGGAATGGGACGTCAATCCATACTTGTTAGGTCGTCTTCTCACTATTCGGTCTGAAATTCGTACGTTCCTGAACCGCTGTAGAAGACAAAGCAGGCTTTTTCTTGTAAAATGATGATCTCGAAGAGCGTGAATTTATAGTCACTCCAAGAAGTTAACCTTGGACGACCTTGCCCTTTTCTTCTTGAGTGTCTTGCAATCTCATGATACCTAATAATCGCTCTGGTAATCAAGGACTGTGATCGTTCGAGCCTCTGTGTTATATACCTTTTTGAGAAACCCTCTTTCGTTGAAGTAAGAACCCGAATCGATTCCTTTTTGATTAATTCCCTTCTGTTTGCCATAAAAATATTCTAAATTACCTCACAACCAAAATCTGTTGCCTACAAAATGGTTTAAGCAAGCTAATAAACACATTCAAAACTAATTTAGAACTGATAGCAAAATTTTGCAAAATGTGCTTAAGATATCTTTTTAATCCAAAGGAGTGATTAGTTGGAGGATACAATTGATTACGGATTACACTAACTCCATTCTGGTCACAGTTAAATATTTATTGTTTTCATTATCAAAAAAAAATACTGAAATTTGTATTCCTTTAATTTTGTTTGGCAGTGTATATTAGGGCAATTGCACCAGTATCTGACATTCTGAAGGAAATTCCTTTGAAATTTTAGGTGTAAAAACTTAAACATTGATGTTATTGTATTTTTATTGAAATCATCATACCGAACAACTCCTCACCTTACAAAGACAAACTTAAAATCCATGAAATATCTATCTGAATTTTAAAAAATAGTAAATTTAGAGAATAGTTCTGTTGTTCCTTTAGCTGATACTGTTTTACTTGGAATGTTCCAATAGATAATAATAAATATAATATAAGGCTCCAGTAGCTGATGCCAATTAAATTTCCAATTCCTTTTCACAAAATAAGTTAAAATCAGATAAAACGTAATCTAACAACGCTAAAAAAAAAGTTTAGGATTAATCGAAGTAGTTAAAGAGAAATAGAAAAACCTAAGGTAGTACCCTTTGTTCCTGGGATATTAAGTGGACCGTGAGGGACCTTCCTAATTTGCCAGTCACTATTTTGGTTACGATTTCCGGCAAGACTAAAGTAAAGTAGACAATTATTGTAGAAGAAATATAGCAACCGAAAATTTGGGAGTGGAGTGGCCGAATGGGCTAAAGCGTGTATTCAGCACCGCGAGTTGCCCGGCAACCAGATAAGCGAAGTTATGGAAGATGAAAAAGTACGCATCCCGGTGCTGGAGAGTATTTTAAATTCTCTGCCATCACCCTCGGCCCGGGAAAAACCCGTATAGCCTTAACGCGAGGTAGGGAAGAACAAAAAAAAAGAAGAAAAGCAACCAAAAATTTATGAAATAGTGATCTAGGAGGTCCTGAAATATTATTATTCACATTTTTCAAGGTTGATATCAATGTCAGTTACTGGTGCTTTTACTCCATGAGATATAAGTCAGTAAAACAAATTCCAACCCCACAGCCTTTTGCCTCCAAAATGCAGGCACAGAAAACTATCCTTCAACGTTTCGCCAATTTAAGCATCATCAGGACATAAGATAAAAGCAAATCGAACATCACTTCATGACACTCATACATATACAGAAAGGAAGCTAAGGTGAATCTCTTAACGAACATGCTGTGTTAATACAAACAACCTGACTCAACAGCAGCTGGTGCAGATGTGTATCACTCATCTACAGA